TCATTAAATTACAATTGAAGCCAGATCGACAAGCTCCGGTTCGATAAGACTGTTTCCTTCGGTTGCAAACTAGGAAAAGTAGAGAGCATAGTGAGGTTCTGCAGTGTCTGTCAGTAACGTATACCTAAAAGGATCTTTGTGCCCGATGTACTTCATATACATAACCGGAAAAATAAATTTGGGACGTTCCACGTCAACAAGGACAGGCTTCTGCCCAAAAATGGTTTTGACGGATTTCAATGTTCTAGGGATTAAAAAATTCGTAAATTTCTATACTTTCGAATGCCGAGTGGCGTTTTTCAAAATTTTAAATGGCGGCTCCATTATGGCGCATAAATGGCAGTAAGTTTGAAAATTTAAAAATAAATTTGTGAATTAGGGAGTTTTCCTGGCCGCTGATTACGAATTTAAAGTTATTTTTAATAAATAAGCAAACATAAAATAAATTCCAAAATGGCGGACAAAAATTTAAAAAACGCTTGAGATTAATTAAAACTTTTCGGTATTCCCGAAAAGGACTGATTGTAGTTTAAATTGAAGATTTTGGAATTATGCAAACTGGTAGTCCTGAAAACGACTGATTGTAGTTTAAATTAACGATTTTGGAATTATGGTAACTTGTAGTCCTGAAAAAGACTGACTGTAGTTTAAATTAAAGCCAAAATAATGTGAACGAGCTAGGATAGTTTTTACAGTGGTGGGGATACGCGGCGTGGTAAGACCCAGCAACGCGCTGATTGGTCCGCCCGAGTCACATGATTTCTAGAACATGTCCATATATGGTCATATAAGAAGCAACTAATTGTGGAATAAAACTGGATCAATAGGTTTGCTTTGTGACTGGCAATATTATTAAAAAAATTTAATTACCATTATTTTATTATTAATATGTGAAATCATTAAATTACAATTGAAGCCAGATCGACAAGCTCCGGTTCGATAAGACTGTTTCCTTCGGTTGCAAACTAGGAAAAGTAGAGAGCATAGTGAGGTTCTGCAGTGTCTGTCAGTAACGTATACCTAAAAGGATCTTTGTGCCCGATGTACTTCATATACATAACCGGAAAAATAAATTTGTATTTTTTTTTGTTTATCAATAATTTATTATTAATTAATTTCATTATATTCTATTATTAATAATACTATTCGACAATTATTAATTTTTAAAAATTTCAAGTTCCAAAGAAAGATGTACATGCATAAAATACTATGTACGGCTCTCTTTGTTTTCATTTTTACGTTCGGCAAGAAAAACCACCTAGAATAGAGATTCAATCATTTTTGGTCGTTTTTAAAATCTTTGTCCGCCATTTTGCAATTTATTTTATGTTTGCTTATTTATTAAAAATAACTTTAAATTTGTAATCAGCGGCCAGGAAAACTCCCTAGGAAAGAGTTTCAATCATTTTCGAGCGTTTTTAAAAAAATTTGTCCGCCATTTTGGATCTGCCATTTTGGAATTTATTTTATTTTTGCTTATTTAATAAAAATAACATTAAATTCGTAATCAGCGGCCATGAAAACCCCTTAGAATAGAATTTCAATTAATTTCGAGCGTTTTTAAAAATTTGTCCGCCATTTTGGATTCGCCATTTTGGAATTTATTTTATTTTTGCTTATTTATTAAAAATAACTTTAAATTCGTAATTAGCGGCCAAGAAAACCCTCTAGAATAGAGTTTCAATTAATTTCGAGCGTTTTTAAAAAAATTTGTCCGCCATTTTGGATCCACCATTTTAAAATTTATTTTATTTTTGCTTATTTATTAAAAATAACTTTAAATTCATAATAAGCGACCCAAAAAACCCCTGAGAAATAAGTTTTAAGCCATTTTGATCAATTTTAAAAATTTTTACCGCCATTTTGAATTCGCCATTTTCAATTTTGGAAAACTAACATTATATTTGCATTCAACGACCCCAAAAACTGTTGTATGAGGTGTTTTAGATTGAATGGAATTCTTTAAGACGTTTAATTCACAAATTTATTTTTAAATTTTCAAACTTACTGCCATTTATGCGCCATAATGGAGCCGCCATTTAAAATTTTGAAAAACGCCACTCGGCATTCGAAAGTATAGAAATTTACGAATTTTTTAATCCCTAGAACATTGAAATCCGTCAAAACCATTTTTGGGCAGAAGCCTGTCCTTGTTGACGTGGAACGTCCCATATATATATATATAATTGGCTTATAAATTATTTTTCAAATTTGCTTTATAAAATTTGATTTTATCGATATTCATATATTAACTATTTCAGGGAATATTTATGTGTCTCTATAAAAATATCAAAAAAATCTACCATCAAAAAATAAAATTAAAAAATTATTTGATTTATGAAACTATTACTTATTATTTAAACATTAATTTTATTCTTATTTTCTAGACACCTATAGCTATTGGATGCAAAAGGAAGAAAGCCTTAGTCGGACATCTGCTGATTTTGAGTCTTTGAAATTTGTGGGTTATATATCGAAATACATTTCAGATTTGAAAAGTTACAAGAATGGGAGTAAGACATTTTAAAAATGTTTTTTTAACAATTACACAACTAAATCGGTAGCGGCAATGATATATTGAAATTCAATCAATATAGCTGATAAAACTTTATTTGCAATAATTATAACTTTAAAAATCGCACTCTCTATGTATAGTAGGGTGGATCGAAAAATAAAGAATTATGAAATATAAAAATTATGAAGTGAAGAAATCTCATACTTGCATTGCGCATGCGTCACACACACACATATACGTACATCCAATATGATCCTAATTTTATTCGCGCATCGGCTTCTCCTTAAGGCGCATTCAGACCTTCGACTGTCTGCACAGGCAGCCTCCCACCACCCTGAAAACGTACAAGAGTAAGAGAGACAGAGAATCAGTAGATTCAAATTTGAATTTTCTGTCTCTCTTACTCTTGTACGTTTTCAGCGTGGTGGGAGGCTGCCTGTGCAGACAGTCGAAGGTCTGAATGCGCCTTAAGGAGAAGCCGATGCGCGAATAAAATTAGGATCATATTGGATGTACGTATATGTGTGTGTGTGACGCATGCGCAATGCAAGTATGAGATTTCTTCACTTCATAATTTTTATATAAGGAGAGGCAACTAGAATAGGGGAAGAGCAACATATCAGAAGAGTCAAATTTGTAGAATTCAACTGTAATTAATTTACTTTATGTATATTAAATAAGATGATAAACAATTTCTGCAACTTCCGAGCTTTTGCCGGAGCTGAAGAAATCGACTTTTAATATCCGTTAAAAAAAATTTCACAACAAGATGAATAAAATAACATTTTAGAAACTACCCGAACTTCACTTGAAATGAAACTTTTTTGATATCAATCTTGAAAACAAATTTTCTACAAAATTTAAAACTTCATTTACATTGCCGGAGCTGAAGATCGTAATCTCTGTCATCCCCAAAAAATTTTCTAAAGTTTTCAATGTCAATATATAACTTTTTTACTACCCAAATTGAATTTTTTGAATTCTTTATTTTTCGATCCACCCTAATGTATAGGCATTTTAATTTAAAGGCACTCATTAATCAATTAATGTTTTTCAGAATCTTCAAAAAAGAAAAAAGCGCCAAAAGTCAAAAAACTGGGCCACTTACCTCCGAACGAACAGAATGCTTCAAATTAACTGCTTCAACCCTATCAAAAAAATACGCGAAGAAATTCGCATGTAATTTGCGAGGGCTTTGCGAGTAAATACACTACTTGTTTTCGACATACATATGCGTGAATTTTTGCAAGAATTTTGAGAATAAATTTTAATATTAATTTTTACATATTCTGCATTTATTTATGCGAGGATTATTGACTTAAACATATATAACTTTTTTTGCATGTTGTTGAATATTTTTATATTTCTTTTCATCAATAACATGGAAAATTCCAATGAATTTTAATCTCGACACCAAAATTGTCTTTCTACGAGTTTTCGCGCCTATTTATACTCACACACGTTCAACCTCGATGTATTCGGGAACGACGACACACACACACATTCTCATAATCGAACACCTAGCCTAACGCGTTTGCGTGTAACACCAGTTGCTCATTAACCACGGAAAGAAATCAACGCTCATTTTTTGTGTTTCGCAATAGAGCTTTCTTCTTATGTTAAAATCGACAAACAAACAAAAAACTTAATTTTCGGAGTGTCTTATAATCATCGGAGTTTCTCATTTTAAAAGTGACCTCATCAAAACAATTTTTATGTGACAATTTTCCTTTATTTTTTTTTTGTGATCACCACGGCGTGGTGACGCCATTTTTGAGTGCGCATATACTTTCCTACCTCAATATATTTAAAGAATAAAATTAAGTTCACTTTATCCAAGTCTTTTATTCAGACCCACTTCTCACCATTAAGTCAATCTACTTTTTCAAACATTTGGTCCTTCGAGCCGGATAGTGATCTGAAAAAAAAAGTTTAAAGTGCAAGTTCTCTTCCAAGTACAGTGAAAGGCAAGTGTAGTGCGCAGGTGGTGGGGACTCAAGGCTCTCGCTCTGTGACGGACATCGACTTGCCCGCCATATTGGCTTTCTCGCTCCCCCACGGCACAGTCTCTCAGACGCTTCCCCTTGACTCTCTGCGCGAACGCCGTGCGTACCATCACGTACAGTGATCCGCTCCTCAGGCAGCAGTTCTCGCCATCTTGGACTCTCTCTCCCTACCAGTGGTGCGCTCTCTCTCTCTCATTGGAAAGTGCTCTCTCTCAACACGTGGTGCGCGCTCTCTCTCTCATTGGAAAGTGCTCTCTCTCTTAACACGTGGTGCGCGCTCTCTCTCTCTCTCTTTGGAAAGTGTTCTCTCTCAACACGTTGTGCGCGCGCTCTCTCTCTCATTGGAAAGTGCTCTCTCTCTCAACACGTGGTGCGCGCTCTCTCTCTCTCTCTCATTGGAAAGTGCTCTCTCTCAACACGTTGTGCGCGCGCTCTCTCTCTCTTTCAACAATTAGTGCTCGGTCTCTCTCCTTCTCACCATGAGTACAAAATCAACTGATTCGACACCGCATTCATCGACGGAAAATCTCACCACAAATCCAGAAGGCTCTGTTAAATCGGACAAGGATGTGAAGGAAGTGACTCACACCTTGCAAAAACTCACTGTAAAAGACGAAAAGTCACCATCACACATTGTTGTTGATCAACAACAATTAATGGAAAACTCACAATCAACATCAGGACAATCTCACGTTTTGACATCTCATCAGGAAGTTATCAAGGAAATCACCCATGGAAAAAGATCAAAAAGCTTAATTCATCAACCCAAGCCAAATCAGGACAGCCTCAAGGCACGACTCACATTCAAGGTAATTACTCAAATGAGTCGACTCAACATCATGACCGAATCACTAGAGCAAATCAAACACCAAAGTCACCGATACACAATCAATGAAGCCAATTCAATGCTCTCAGTCTTTACTGATTTATGGTCAGAATTTTCTCAAACTCACGTAGAAATTGGAGAAACGTGTAATGACGATTTTTTCAATGAACCATACATGAATGAGGATTGTTTTGAACAAGGACTCAAGACTTTGATGGAAGCCAAGGCTCTACTCAACTCTATAATTGCGCATCTCACTCAACCAACTGCTCAACCTACTCAAACAGCGGAACCGTCACTTTCCTCAAGAAGACAACTTCCAGAAATCTCATTGCCTAAGTTTTCAGGAGATTACTCAACTTGGACATCATTTCGGGATTTGTTTCTCTCATTAGTAGGACAGAACTCAGAAATCACATCTGTTGAAAAAATGCATTACCTTCGTTCATCACTCACCGGGGAAGCTGCTCAGCTGATTGCAAATCTACCTCTCTCAAGTGACGCATTTAACTCCGGTTGGGAATTGCTCACCTCTCGGTATGAGAACAAACGATTACTCATCGCTTCTCAGATGGACAAACTTTTTAACTCCAAAATCATCTCATCAAAATCAGCTAGCGACCTCAATTCCCTGATCACGACTACAACAGAGTCACTCAATGCTCTCATCTCGCTAGGAGCACCAGTCGATCAATGGGATCTGGTTTTGGTTCATTTTATCACCCGCCGGTTGGACACTCAAACCAGGGAAGCCTGGGAGGTTAAACAAGGCTCAAGGACAACTCACCCCACTTATCAGCAACTTAAGGAATTTCTAACTGGACGTGCCCGTGCGTTGGAAAATATGCAGCTTAACTCATCTCAATATTCACAGACAGTAAAAAAATTGAGTAGCAACTCATCAACAACTCAAAAATCTGCACAAGCTCTCACTGTTTCTCACCAAGACTATGGATTTGCCTGTTCATGTTGTCAACAATCTCATTTCATCGTAGTGTGTGAAAAATTCCGGAAATTAACTCAACAGGAAAGACGAGAATTCGTTAAAACTCAACGACTTTGTTATAATTGTTTGGGGAAACACTCAGCTCATGCTTGCCAAAGTGACAAACGATGTAGGGAATGCAATGGAAAACACCACACCATGATTCACATAACAGACTCTAAGGCGAGCACAAAACAAGGTACATCTCAACCGGCGACAACTCAACATGTTCAAAAGGATGACAAGTCAGACTGACTCAATGTCTTGACAGCTCAAGGTAACACTCATTTTAATATAAGACCTATTGTGCTTCTCGCTACTTCTCAAGCTTTGCTGCTACTCAATTTCGGAATCTCTCATCCAGTAAGAATCTTATTGGATTCAGGATCTGAGTTATCCTTCATTTCGGAACAACTTGTTGCTAAACTCAATCTTCCACGGCAATACTCAAATATTCCAATTGTTGGGATTGGAGGAACAGCATCCGGAACCACTCGAGGAATGGTTTCAATCAAGCTCCAATCTACTCACTCTGATCAAATTCTATTGCTTAACGCCTACATCCTTTCAAAATTATCCTCAACTCTTCCTTCAATCTCGCTTAATGCTCAATCCATTCCTGAATTTAAAAATTTACAATTAGCTGATCCTCACTATTTTCACAGCTCAAGAATAGACATCATTATTGGAGCTGATCATTATGGGCAACTATTAGAACCAGGTCTCATCCACGGCGTAGACTCATCACTCACTGCTCAAAAAACCTTCTTTGGCTGGGTCATCCTTGGTCCTGTGAAGGCTACCTCAACTAAGCCCAGTCACTCATATCATCTATCAGTGAATCAACAACTCAACGACCTCTCAGATCTCTTGTCTAAGTTCTGGGAACAGGAGGAGGTTCCATTCAAGGTCAAGGACTCACTCACACCACAGGAACAAGAGTGTGAGAACCACTTTCAAACCACTCACTCTCGAGACTCAACAGGAAAATATATTGTATGATTGCCACTCAACTCATCACCAAGTCAACTCGGCGACTCACTCGTCACTGCTCAACGATGTCTAAGGTCAACGCTCAAACGAATCTCGAAAAATCAAGTTTATGGGGATCTTTATCATGCCTTTCTCACGGAATACGAAAAGGATACTCATATGATTCGTGCTTCATTATCGGATCAATCATCACCAGTCTATTATTTACCTCATCACGGCGTACTCAGGGAACAAAGTACATCCACAAAATTGAGGGTTGTATTTAACGGATCAAGTTCATCAAGCTCAGGGTACTCGCTCAACGACATTCTTCACACAGGGGCGAAACTTCAAAGGGACATCTCAGATGTGCTGCTCTGGACAAGAAAGTTCCGATACATTTTCTCAACGGACATCACAAAAATGTTTCGTCAGGTCAAAGTTCATCACCTTGACTGGAATTTACAACGCATCCTATGGATAGATGACAATAACCAGGAGGTACCTTATCAACTCACGACTGTCAGTTATGGAACAAAATCAGCACCTTTTTTGGCAGTTCGTGTAATTCTTCAACTTATTCAAGATGAAGGGGACAAATACCCTCTTGCGGTACCAGTACTCATCAACGGTCGATATGTAGACGATATTTACGGCGGAGCTGATCAACTCAAGGATCTCATCCCTATTGCTCAACAAACCAAGGACCTTCTCAATCGTGGTGGCTTTCCATTGGCCAAATGGCAAAGCAACCATCCGGATTTAGTCAACACTATCTCACCTGGACAAACCTCATCACAAACTCATTTGTTCGAGAACAACATCACGAAAATACTTGGTCTTTCATGGTGCACTCAAAGTGACTGCTTTAAATTCATCTTCCAGTTACCAAGTCAATCATCGGAACCAATCACCAAGCGGATCATACTTTCGGAAGTGGCTCAAGTATTCGATCCACTTGGATTTTTATCACCTTTCATCATCCGAGCCAAGATGTTATTACAGGAACTCTGGCTCGCAAAACTCGGCTGGGATGACTCAATTCCCGACGAAATTACCAAAAAATGGTTTAAATTCAAAGGTGAACTTGCTCAACTCTCATCAATCTCAATTCCACGGTGGCTAAATCTCACAACATCATCAATAGTTGAACTTCATGGATTTTCGGACGCATCTCAATTAGCAATGTCAGCAGTCATTTTCATCAAAACAACAAACCCGGGTCTTGAACCAACAATCAATCTCATCTGCGCAAAAACTAAAGTTGCATCACTCAAAAGGATCACCATACCAAGGTTGGAACTCACGGCAGCGCAATTATTAACTCGACTCATGGTATACACTCAAAAGACGTTGGATTTCTCTCAAGTACCAGTATTCATGTGGACAGACTCACAGGTGACATTAAATTGGATCCAAAGTCACCCATCTCGATGGAAGGATTATGTGCGCAATAGAGTTTCGTTCATTCAAGAACAATTACCTCATGCTCAATGGCGGTTCATAAAAGGAAAGGAGAATCCAGCAGATTGCGCATCTCGGGGATTGGCAATCTCACAACTCAAGGAACATGCTCTCTGGTGGAACGGTCCACCATGGTTAAAGAACTCATCCGATCAATGGACATCCCCAACGGTCAAACAAAGCAACTCAGCTCAAGTTGAAGAGCGGCCAGGACTCTCACTCATGGTAGCAGCTAATCCTCAATCTCAACTCTGGGATCTAATAGGACGGTACTCATCACTCAACAAGCTGCTGAGAATCACATCAATTTGTTCAAGGGTCATCAAAACACTCAAGCAAACTCCACAATCATCCCTGGTTTATCCACTCACTCCTGGCGATCTCAATTCATCACTTCTTTACTGGGTTCGAGCTATTCAAGGAGCATATTTTTCAACGGAATTAAACACACTCACTCTTGGCCAAAAATTAGCAAAATCTCACCCTCTCACCCGTTTAACTGCATACATTGACAACCACGGAATCCTCAGGGTAGGAGGACGACTTAAACGTTCAAACTTAGATGTAGATTATGTGAATTCAATGATTCTACCAAAGGATTCAACACTTACTCAACTTATTATTTTGGAAGCTCACAAACGGACCTTACATGGCGGCACACAACTCACGTTATCTCATACAAGAAAAAGATTTTGGATCATAGGCGGACGTCACTCAATAAAATCCCTTGTGCTCAAATGTGTAACATGTGCTCGACAACGAGGACAACGAGCTCAACAACTCATGGGACAATTACCATTGTCAAGAATTACTCCAACAAGGGCCTTTCTCAACACCGGAGTCGATTATGCAGGACCTGTCTCAATCAAGGCTTGGAAAGGTCGAGGAGCAACTTCTCAGAAAGGTTGGATTTGTATATTCGTGTGCTTTTCAACGTCCGCTATTCATTTAGAAGCAGTAACAGACAACTCAACGGAAAAATTCATCGCAGCATTTAAACGGTTCACTGGAAGGCGTGGCATCTGCAAAACACTCTATAGTGATTGTGGAAAAAATTTCAAAGGCGCAGATGCTGAACTCAAACGGATGTTTCAATCTGGAACTAAACAATTCCAAAAGTTATCTCATCTCTTTGCCAATGACGGAACCACTTGGATTTTCAACCCTCCGGCATCACCTCATATGGGAGGCAAGTGGGAAGCAGGCGTTAAATCGGTAAAATATCATCTTCGAAGGACAATTGGCGAAACAACACTAAGCTTTGAAGAATTTACGACTTTTCTTGTGCAAATTGAAGCGATACTCAACTCTCGTCCAATGGAACCACTTTCAGATGACCCTGATGATTTCTCCGTTCTCACACCAGGCCACTTTCTCATTGGAGAACCACTCTTCACGATCCCAGAACCATCACTCATCGATTTGACTCTCTCACCAACTCAACGGTCAAAACTCATTACACAAAAGTTACAATTCTTTTGGTCAAAGTGGTCATCAATGTATCTACAACGACAACAGTCCATCTCAAAATGGCATTATCCTTCGAATGATATCAAGGTTGGTTCACTGGTACTTCTCACTGACGAGAGATTCCCACCTGCAAAATGGCCACTTGCTCGTGTACTCAAACTTCACCCAGGAAAAGATGGACTCACCAGGGTTGTTACAATCAAAACAGCCACCTCAAGATATCAACGGCCAATTCACAAATTAGCAATTCTTCCCATTCCTACGGAAGACTCATCATTGGAAGAAGAATCACCATAGAGCATCGTCAACTCTATTGCCGATGGGGGGGAGAATGTTGAATATTTTTATATTTCTTTTCATCAATAACATGGAAAATTCCAATGAATTTTAATCTCGACACCAAAATTGTCTTTCTACGAGTTTTCGCGCCTATTTATACTCACACACGTTCAACCTCGATGTATTCGGGAACGACGACACACACACACATTCTCATAATCGAACACCTAGCCTAACGCGTTTGCGTGTAACACCAGTTGCTCATTAACCACGGAAAGAAATCAACGCTCATTTTTTGTGTTTCGCAATAGAGCTTTCTTCTTATGTTAAAATCGACTAACAAACAAAAAACTTAATTTTCGGAGTGTCTTATAATCATCGGAGTTTCTCATTTTAAAAGTGACCTCATCAAAACAATTTTTATGTGACAATTTTCCTTTATTTTTTTTTGTGATCACCACGGCGTGGTGACGCCATTTTTGAGTGCGCATATACTTTCCTACCTCAATATATTTAAAGAATAAAATTAAGTTCACTTTATCCAAGTCTTTTATTCAGACCCACTTCTCACCATTAAGTCAATCTACTTTTTCAAACACATGTATTTATGCAATGTTTTTGACTTAAATTTTTTATTCATTTCACATTACCGCGTGTAATTTTGCAAGGATTTTTAATTCAAATTTTTTTTACCTTTGTTGCTTCTATTTATACGAGGATTTTTGACTTAAATTTTTTTTCTTTCCCCAATTTTCGCGTGTACATAAGCAAGGATTTTCAACTTATAAACTTGTAATTACATGTTTACCTTTTTCCGCGTCTAATTATGCAAGGATTTTTAACCTTAACTTTGATTAACATGTTTACATTTTCCACGTGTATTTTTGAAAGGATTTTTTACTTTAACGTTCAATTAAATATTTACATTTATCGCGTGTATTTTTGCAAGAATTTTTTATTTGAATTTTTACATTTTCCACGTCTATTTATGCGAGAATTTTTGACTGAAACGTATTTAACATTTTTTGCATGTAATTATGCGAGGTTTTTGACTTAATTTTTTAAATCTTTTTCACATTTATCCACGCGTATTACTGCGAGGATTTTTGACTTAAACATATTTAACTTTTTTTGCATGTATTTATGCAATGTTTTTGACTTAAATTTTTTATTCTTTTTCACATTATCGCGTGTATTTTTGCAAGGATTTTTAATTGAAATTTTATTTTAATTTTTTCGTTTCTATTTATACGAGGATTTTTGACTTAAATTTTTTTTCTTACCCCAATTTTCGCTTGTACATAAGCAAGGATTTTTAAACTTATAAACTTGTAATTACATGTTTACCTTTTTCCGCTTCTAATTAGGCAAGGATTTTTAACCTTAACTTTGATTAACATGTTTACATTTTCCACGTGTATTTTTGCAAGGATTTTTAACTTTAACGTTCAATTAAATATTTACATTTATCGCGTGTATTTTTACAAGAATTTTTTATTTGAATTTTTACATTTTCCACGTCTATTTATGCGAGAATTTTTGACTGAAACGTATTTAACTTTTTTTGCATGTATTTTTGCAATGTTTTTGACTTAAATTTTTGATTCTTTTTCACATTACCGCGTGTAATTTTGCTAGGATTTTAAATTCAAAATTTTTTTTACATTTTTCGCGTCTATTTATACGAGGATTTTTGACTTAAATTTTTTTTCTTTCCCCAATTTTCGAGTGTACATAAGCAAGGATTTTCAACTTATAAACTTGTAATTACATGTTTACCTTTTTCCGCGTCTAATTATGCAAGGATTTTTAACCTTAACTTTGATTAATATGTTTACATTTTTCACGTGTATTTTTCCAAGGATTTTTAACTTTAACGTTCAATTAAATATTTACATTTATCGCGTGTATTTTTGCAAGAATTTTTTATTTGAATTTTTACATTTTCCACGTGTATTTTTACAAGGATTTTTAACTTTAACGTTCAATTAAATATTTACATTTATCGCGTGTATTTTTGCAAGAATTTTTTATTTGAATTTTTACATTTTCCACGTCTATTTATGCCTGACTCACACGTCGTTTAGCGTCACATCACACACAAAAATAAACGCGTGATCCAAACACCATATTACGTTTCAAATTTTCATATAAAATCTTAATGAACAATTTTATTCAAGTTACTTTGTCATTGACATATTTTTTCTGCACTTAATTATCTTTTTTTGAAACAAGAAAAAAGTTTTTTCTTGAGCGTACAGCACTGACTCCCATAATACGTCTTTATTGTTCGCACACTTAACTACAACGTATGTGAAAAGTTCGCTGACATTGCTAACAAATACTTGCATACAAAGACAGATGGATCTAGTGTGATAAAACAAAATAAACGCGATGACTCAACTCTGACCACTGTCCAACCCTGACTACTCTCCCCTACATGTTTACATTTTCCGTGTCTATTTTAAAGGATTTTTGATTTAAAATTTTGTTCTTATTTTCACCTTTTTTCGCGTGAACATACGCAAGGATTTTTAACTTAAACTTTCATTTACAACTTTACTTTTTCCACGTGAATTTTTGCAAGAATTTTTAACTTTAACTTTCTTTTACATGATTACATTTTCCGTGTGTAATTTTGCAAGAATTTTTATCTTAAATTTTTACATTTTCCGCGTTTATTTATGCGACGATTTGTGACTGAACTTTATTTAACTTTTTTTGCATGTATTTATGCGATGTTTTTGAATTAAATTTTTTATTCTTTTTCACATTTATCATCGCATATTTCTGCGAGGATTTTTGAATTAAAAATTGTCTTATTTTTTCGCATGTATTTATTCGAGTTCTTTAACTTGAAACTTTTTATTCTTTTTCACATTACCGCGTGTAATTTTGCAAGGATTTTTAATTCAATTTTTATCTACATTTTTACATTTTCCGCGTCTGTTTACACGAGGATTTTTGACTTAAATTTTTATTCTTTTTTCCCCAATTTTCATCCCCTAGGGGCCTAGGACCTTGTTGTTGGTGGGGAGGCTTACGAATTTATTTGAGTACCGTCTTCGGACCCCATTCTTTTCCTCGCTATTCTGTTGTGGCCTTTTCGTGTGGGAAGGACCGTCCGGAAGTTAGAGAAAATTGGTGGGCAGAAATGACCACCACCGGAAGTGGAGGAGTTAAGTGCTTGGGTAGATTTAACCGAGAAACGGCCCCTCCAGTTTCTTGATGGGCGAGGAATCTGGAGTAAGGAGGCGCAAGTCTTCTAGCCCCCCCAATCCAAGATGTTTTCGCTGTGTCAATGGATGAATGGTACCATGGTTACCAAATTCATCTCGCTCCTGAGGAGGTAGGCGCGGACGGGGGTCGGCTTTCAGACTTGCACAGGTTTAGCATTGGTAAAGCTCGAGAGCGACTGTACCGGGCTGGGTCGATCTGTGGTCGCTCTGGCGCTCTGCGGAGTCGTGATGAAGGTATCGCAAACGGAGACACTAGACGAACTCTCAGTAGTATTTAGTCTTATCTTTGCATAAGGTGCTCTGTGAGGACGGACCTTCTGTTCCCCTGTTATTGTGGGATCTAAATGGAGACTACTGATAACAAAAACAAAAGTGTTTCGCCCGAGAATACCGAACACTCTTCGGAGAGTCGGGATTGAGGGCCGGAGATATTGCCGCAGGATGAAAGGGCACCTTCAACGGCCTCACAATGAAATGGGACCTGAAAGGGAACCATTAAGTTCTGAGGCTCTGATGCAGAACAGTTCGGGATCGTCCCAAGGTTCCACTGTTCTTGTGGTCGAAGGCCTAATGTCGAACTTATCCGTTAAGGGTAAAAAGCTCAGTTGCAGTGCAAGATAGTGGCTGAAGAAACTTATGGAGCAGAACCGGCAAGGGTCTCAACCTGCTTCTTTCTTGACTTCTATGCCTGCTAACAGCAAAGCTGAGTCTGTTGGTCAGGGCACGAAAAAGCGTCCGCGCCGACAAGACTCAGACGCCTCTCCACAGCAGGAGAAGAGAAGGAGGAAGGAACCCCTGGTAGGTACCATGTCCAAAGGTGAACCAGACTTCAATTCTGTCTAACCTCAGGAGACAGAATCCTGGGGTAGTTTCTACGGCTGCAGGCTGGACTCCCGCGGTAGGCGTGCCAGAGACTCAGTGAGTGTGCTCGAGTCTCTCCACTACAAACTGTGTCTCGGTCTTGGGCAGATCCCTCTTTGAGTGAGGAAGCACAGAACGGACACGGAGAGTGGTGGACAAGGCACGATTAGAGAAGCGACAGAGGATTCCGAGGTGCAGTCCTTAACTAGACGGGCCACGGAATTCAATGTTCGCAGATTAACTTGCAACACTTTAAAACCTTGGGTTTACAAGGGTAAGATTAGAGGTTTGAGTAACTGTAGGGAGTTAGTGAGTTCACCACAGGAAGTGGCACCCAGGGCGTGTATCGCCTATAAGGGAGTAATTGCGTTTCCTCTTTTAGAGTTAACTAGTCGAGATCTGGCAGTTATAAAAGTCATATATCGAGACAAAAATGGAAGTAACAAAAAGGTGATTCTTGCCTCTGGTTACTTTCCATGATCAGAAAATGAACCCTCACCACCAGACGAGGTGATAAGACTGGTGGATTACTGCCATCGGGAGGGACTTTTTCTTATTCTGGGTTGTGATGCCAATGCACACCACGTTATTTGGGGTAGTACAGACATCAATGATAGAGGTGTGAAACTTCTAGACTTTCTAGTTGAGTCAGGCCTAGATTTCCTTAATCAGGGAAACGAGCCTACCTTTGTTACTAAAAACAGGAGGGAGGTTTTGGATATTACTATCTGTTCGAGGTCAATGTGGGAGGAAGTACAGAATTGGGTAAGGTGAGAAAGTTGCTGCATAAAACAAAGAAAAATAGGAATCAACAGGCATGGACATTGTGACAGAGCTGAGTGTCTGAGTCATCTTGTGGGAATTAATTTCCCAGAATTTAGAGAATCAGAGCAGAGCAATGGGGGTCGGAATCCACGT